CTTGTTTATTTATAGTAAAAGTATGGTGGTGAAACTATTATTTTAATTATTTATTTGATTATTTGTCCATTTATTCATCTATTAATATAAAGATGAGTATCAATGCTACTATTAATATTCATTCTTACATTCCTATTTATTTAGTATTACAATGTAAAGTTAAGTAAACTAGAGGAAGTCCAGTTCCAACCCTTTGAAACATCATTTGCCAAATATGTTAATATGATGACCGATATTTCGGCTCTCACAGTGTATAAGAAGAACTGAAACACACTTGAACATACATAATTATGGACTTTGTTTCGCTTCGAAATAACGAAAGACGAAATGATGCATGGTTGCAGGTTGTGAACATTTTAACCTGACTACATATTCCATCCCTTTGTAAATAAATTACTACTCCCTGAGACCAATCCGAAAGGCTTTCTGCTCGTGCGCTCGCATCTTAGATCCATTAAAATAGCTTCTTACCAAATATCCACCCAAGCAACAGCAACAAAGTAGTGAAAAGAGCAAAATAAAAGTGTTAAATTTGCTTAGTAACATACCTCAAAAAAGTTTCTTTGATTCCTCCCTGATTTTTGAATTTTCAGGAAGTCTTAAGTTAGTTGCAAGATCCTTCTCTAGAAAGACAATTTTGCATCACTTTTATTGGCCTGGAAGCTGTTAACGAGTTCGAAAACAATAACGGCTGGTCTACCTGCAAATGTCTGTTTGCAACAGAGCGAGGATACTTTGTTCGTCATTTTATCCAAACCGTGGCATTTGAGATTCTGGAGATCCCTCTCAACTTTTGTGTTCAGCATAGTTACGGAGCAATACTTTTCTCAACAAAGCAGGAGATGTTGTAAATGATGAGGAATATGGGTTGCGAAGCATATACTGGTTGCGGGCACAGCGCATACGAGCAGACAGCTGGCAGACACCGAACACAACTCCAACAGACACAGACTTCACACGCAGACACGCAGCCACACACATCCATACAGCATACACAGACACACACAGAAATACGCACCACTAAACGATGCGTTACGGCCGTTTTCCATTACGTCTCTCCCAGTTTTGTTTAGGTTGCCTGGGCATTAGAATTTTCTAACTTCTAGGTTTATTTTCGGGAATCCTAGTTTGCTTGCTGAGTTCCCCCTCGTATCGTGCCGTCGCTCAAGTTTATTGGGATAAAGTTGTTGCATTGAGTACATGCCTCTAGATAAGGATTTCTTAGTTAATAGTTTTTCCGTTTATAATTCGCAAATCTCTTCGCAACTGTAGTTCTGCTTTTCCTTTTTTTTTTCTGAGTTCAAAAAATTGATTATTTCTAACGCTAGTTAAGTTCCAAGAAGAAACACGGCTTGGAATATTTAGAGGAACACTGTATGTATTCGTGTAAATCCTGAATAAAGTTAGGGTTTAGCTACAGCTCTTGGGTTAGTTTTGCCAGAATCTTTAATGCAGTTTTGATGAGTTTTTATCGATAAAATTCTCTGTGGTTGCCTTTCAAAATAACCTAGATTTGATGCTATTCAGTTGTAAATTAAGGTTGCTTCCAAGTGTTTAGACGACGTTGTTCAACTTGTATCTTGTTTGTTGGATGCTAGGCTGATTTTGTTCAGTTTTTCGTTCTGTAAACTGAAAGCGGAGTTTAGCAGTCTGTAAACTGTACTTCTGAGAACAATTTTGGGATTTATATCATTTAATGAAGTTGTCGCTGTCGATTTCCGACTTATAGCTTATTCGCTTTTTTTCCTTCGCATTCAAAACGCAGTCATTCTGAGTGTATGTTTTTTTCTAATCCAAATTTTTTCATTCTTCCCCATTTTTTTCTATTTTCAGAGCAGTGTTTTATTTCAGTGAGGGTTCTCGTTTTAACGAGAATCTTGAGTGTTAGGGATGGGAGTTGTTGGCATGTGGGAGTATATGCAGAAGTACGCTCGGCCCGTGGAAGTCTCTTCACTTCGTAACAAAAGAATTGCCATTGGTAAGTCTTATCAGGATTTTTCCGGTTTGATTTTTATTAAAAGTCCTATTTTTTTTCCGTGCAGAAGAAGTATAGTATTTCATTTTTACTCAAAACTTTATCAGATGGACACATTTGGCTGTATGAGATAATGCGCGGGAGCGTCGCGCATTGCTCGACGTCGAAGAAACCGCACCTAAGCACGTTTTATAACAGGTGCAATACACTAATAGAACATGGCATCGAACCAATTGTAGTCTTTGACAGTTTGGATGAGAAAATCCGCAATGAGGTGGGCAAGACCACACTTATTCTTTTTTTTTTTTTGTCGCTTATTCTAATATGGACTGTTAAATGAATTTAAATCACGCGTGAAAGTTTTTCACGCTGAGCGACTTAGTCGTGAGCTGCTTAGTATGCTGTTCTCTTCTAATTTAGTTCAAGGTCCGTACATGTTTATTAAATTTGTGAAAATACTTTGTTATTTTTTACTTTTTTCAGAATGCGGCTCTAAAAAGAGACAGAAAACGAAATACCACATCGTGGGCTCCGGAGTTAAAAATGGAATTTGTGTCAAAAATAGATGAAATCAAAGTATATAGGCTAATAGCCTCTTCCATTTTTCGAATTTTCAAATTTTTTTGTTTTTGGTCTTATTATAATACTTTTCGCTTTACTTTATTTTACGGGCTGTGCTTCTAACACTGCTGCCAGATTATGAAAATACAAGGTGGCGCTGAGCAAGCTGATGTAAATTTGTTGTTTATAGGAGCTTCTTGATGCTATGGGCGTGCGTTGGATGGCTAGCAAACTAGAAGGTGAAGCACAGTGTGCACAGTTAGAGAAACGTGGCTTAGTCCATGGCTGCATAACTCGTGATTTCGACTACATTTTATTTGGTGGAAATAATTTGTATCAGGTAAGACTTGACGATTGAAATTATGTTTTTGTATTTCCCGTTTGGTATAAGTTATGAAAACCGACGGAAAGGAAGTGTGTTGAAGTTTTAGTTATTGTTTTGATTATTCCTCGTCTTTATGTCTCTTAGTCGACAATTTTTTAATGTCAATAAGCACATGAATGTGAAGAAACTGAAGTTCAGATTGCTTTAGGTTAATGAGTAGATTACTGGATCTAAACCTTAAAATCTGCTTTCTGTGCGAGTAAAAACGTTCTTGACCTAAGTAACTTTGCAGTTAGAAAATTGTTGCCCTTTTGCTACTTTGTATTAAGGTTGGGTCCCAAGGAGGATAGCCTTATTCTGGTAAGGTTGATTATCTCAAAAACCGAAGGTGTACTTTACGGATCGTTCTTCTGTTCTTGTTCACTTAGTAATGTAAGGTCGCCAAATTTTAGTTTCATGCTCCGGTAATAGGGTTTGGGAGGTATAAATTGTAAAGCGAGGTTGGGCGTTATTTTCTCTCTTAAGACGTTCTAAAACATTTTTTGGAAACTATTCAGTGGTTATGAGACTTCTTTAATGCTTACGCTCTGTTATTGCTGAATTATGTCAAATGGTTCTTGGCACTTTCAGTTCTATTTTTAAATTATCTGATTGAATGAGCATGTCATGCAATACCGGAAGCATTGTTATTTATGTATTAGTAGTTAATTGCTGTAAGTCTACAAAATTGTAGATGAGGATACTTACAGCTACATTTTTTGCTATGTGTTCCTGATGTGTCTTTATTTCTTGCTCAATTAGAACGATTGTTAAGTTAGATATCGTAGCTTTTTAGTTGGCCAAATCGTTAGATCATGATATATCGTCTCTACTTTTCAGATAGAATTTGATCCTAATGGGAAAATTGAACACAATACTTTTCTTTTGTCTATGGACTACATTCAAGAAAAACTGTGCTTAAGTCGGTGAGAGTACTAATTTTTTATTTAGAAAAGTTGTTTGTTTCTTGTTACTTAAATATTCGTTTTTCTTTCAACTTTTTTTCATACGCGATAAGAGTATATTTTATTGTTTTAAATATAAGCTATTATAGTTCTTTTAAATGCAGGTCTTGCTTGATAGCGATGTCGTTAATGATGGGGTGCGACTACTATCAGAAAGGTATTCCCGGGGTTGGCGTTGTAACCGCACTCGAAATAGTTTCTGAGTTTTATGTAATGCAACAAGACCACCCGCAGGTGATATTGGATCGATTCAAGTTAGTTCATTGTTGCGTCTTTTAGCTGGGTTTTTTGAAATTAGATAAAAAGTTTTTTTTGGGGTATAACGATAGACTTGTACTTTTCTCCGCATATCCTAAAAAGGCTGTTCCTATTCATTTCCAATGAAGTTTTTTTCCTGTTACAATTTGTTTAGGTCTTATGCGTCAAAAGCTGTACCAGTCAGAGAGACCGATAGTCTAGTTAAGCAGAAACTTAGGGCAAGTAGTGAACGGTTGACCGTAGACCTACGCGACTTTAATCCAAATTCGGATATTGTGTCGAACGCTGTCAATGTTTACATGGTACCTTGTGTCATTGAATATTCTAGAACGCAGTTGCCGAAAAAAATACTTCCTGATCATGCCAGAATTCAAGTGAGAATTGCTTGAGTTTCTTTTTTCTCCACTGTTGTTTCTTTTTTTATTTTTAGATTAAATAGTGTAGTTCCTGACCATCAATTTGTTGTACAGATTTTGCTTAGGTTTATACATTTGCTATTTATATTGTGAAAGGTTCAGCTACGGAGGAACTTTTTATTAATAAAAATTTTGAATTTGCAGGAGATTCTTCAGCGCGAATCCCAGTGCGACACAAAACATTTATTAAGTACTGCTGAAAAGTCTTTCAAAAAACAGCTAAAGTCTAGGAGCCTCGCAGTTAGTTATTTAATTTTTAGAAATGGCCTTTCAGGTTCCTGTAAAAGTAGAAATTTTTGATGGCGAATTCTTTGTGTTATCAGTTTGAATATTTTAGAGTCAGCGGCGGTTGACATCATTTTTTCCGGTTATGCGTTCAAGGACTGTTGTTGCTTTATGTTCGAAAGAAGAAAGTTCTAATTGTTCTAAGCGGGAATGGGCTGCAATGGAACGTCTTCGCCTAAATGCCAGCCAGTATAGCTTTAATCCGGTATATGCTTACATAGGATTTCTTCCTACCTGTGCCAGTACGGAAATTTAATATTTCTTTAGTTTAAAACTAGAAATGGAATTTCGTTTTATTTTGTTTTAATAATCATTATGGATCTTCATTTATTAGTTTTCTTCCTTCCATTTATCATTTGATTGGTCATTCTTAAGGGTTTGTTTAAATTAGAATTTAAAGAAATTTCTTCCTAATGGGCACTGATCTTCTCGCTGAAGTGGGAAGAATCATATTGTATTTTTTTTTATTAGTGATTTAACGGCTGTGAAATTTAAGTCTTTAGCTACGGTTGAGTTGACTTTGTTTCAGGAGTAATAGTTGAAAGTCTTTTTTAGCGGACCTTAATGTTAAATCTTTATGTTGAATGTTTGTTTCAGGAACTGCCACGTTAAATTAATTAAATAATATTGGAAGTAATTTTCTGTTTTCGTTGAACTGGCATTTCTATTCATTAATCATATAGATTAAGTCTAGCGACTTTTTTTCTTAACTTGTCGGTTTTTTTTTTCAGAAAGTCCTTCAAATTTTTTTTTTGCTTTATAAATTCAAAGATCAAGAATGTTGTGTCGGATTACTGCTCTTGGTAAACTATTCTTATTCCACAATGAAGAATTGTTACTTAGTCGTTATTTAATAGAAGAAATAGGTTTTTAGTTATTTTTCAATGAGTCAGTGGAATGGATAATACAGGTCAGGCAAGCAGTTATTTGTCATATTTAGGTGTATCATTTTTTTATTGGTAATAGTAACCTTTGTGTATCACATTTATTCATTTTAAGTTTACCACACAGGTTATTGAAGTGATCTCAGTCCCATCACCAGCTGATGAGCCAGGAAATGCAGTAGAAATGAAGCCAGCAGACTTAGTTCCGGGAACATCAGGAACTTTGAAGAGAAAGTCGAGCTGCAATGAAGCGCAGCAGGAAGTTCCCGCCAAAAAAACTTGCAATGAACAATCGTTCACCCCATCGGATACAGTCCCAAATAAAGATTCATCACCCGTTGTGACAATGCGTAACGGTGAACTTGTAGCTATAGATGAGGATTCTGAAGAAACTAACGAAGTAATAGTCATTGAGGACGTCCCAGTGCCCGAAAAAAACCGTTTTCAGGTAACTTCAGTTAACATTTCCACTTTTTGACATCGTTTTTTTAGGATGGAACTAATTGTTTCCGTTGTCGTAGCGTCTTTTATTGAAGCAGTTGTTTGGTAACACTGAAAGGCTCACCTTGCAGTAGTTAACCTTCTGGAGCTATAAATAACCGAAGGATTTGTGTAACTGAATATTTTTTGGACTTGTAGCTACGTTGTCTTACTCATCTTTTTTAGGCTATTCAGTCGACAGCGTGAATTTATAAGACATCTCGACGGGTTTGTAATACCAAATGTTGGCAAAATTTGGGTTTGTAGAAACTACTATTAATATATTTCCTACTGTTATTTCATGGCACTTTGCTCGTCATATTGGTAGGCTAGAAAATGAGAAAATTTGTGTACTGTTATTGTCTGCGAGAGATTAGGTAGCTTCCATGTGCACTTGCCCAGAATGAGTTAGGTTGAAATAACGAAGGAACTCTGAGCAGTTCCGCGCTTCTGTTAGAACAGCTTCTCTTATTTCTGGAGTCAGTTGTTGTTGGTTTCTTTCAGTGTCAATTCATCCTTTAAAGCTAGTTAAGGTTTGGAAGCATTTACTCGTAGCAAACTAAAGAAAAATTTATATGTTTGTTGCCTAGATTGAGTTTCTGCCAATTGCGTTGTTTAGCCAATGTCTTTCTTTATATATTTTGAAGTCATTTCGGGTTGTCCAGTTCTTATATAATTATTATGTTTCTTATTATTGTCTAACCAGTGAATCATGTGATGTTTGATGATATTTTATTTCCAAAAACTGAATTTGCTGCTCATTTTTGACGAGATGGTTGTCAGAGCTCTTTTCAAAAATAGTCTCTTTTTTCTAGTTTTTATCTTTGAAACTTCTATAGCTTTTGAAATCTGTAACCCCTTGCGATGAACAATCTGTTTTACCCGAGTTTTTTCTCCATTTTTTCTCAGTTTTACTATTCTACTTCAGTAACAGGACCTTGTTATCTCGGAGGAATAAGAATTATTGCCGTTTTACCCCTTATTAAGAGCCGTTGTTTGGCCTCTTGATATTGTTCAGTGGTTTTCTTTTGTCGGAATTGTCGTTTACTAGTCTTAAGATGCAATGGATCGTTGCATCTTCTACTCGCTTTGCAACATCTTCGAAATATTGCTTCATGCACCTGACGTCTGTGGAAGATAGACGACTTTGTTTTTTGTCTTCTTTCAGTCTTTCTAGCGGTGAGCCGGTGGAATATTTATTTATTAGTCGATCGTCAGGGCGGTATAACGTTATTTCCTCCGAAAACTAACAGGTTTTCATGCAGCCGGAAGTGTCCCGTATGTTACGTTCAAAACTTCTCAAAAAAAATAACCGCATCCTCTATCTTATACATATATATATATACACATATATATATATAAACTCAGTCTTGACTATCCCCTGTCACTACTAGATTTTTCAGTGATCCAGTAAATTGTTTGAAAATTTGCGCCATTGTGATAGTGCTGAACGAATGTTGTACACATTATTCTGAGGTCATATTTTATAAAAGGGAAAAATTTTGGTTTTTTTGTTGTATAATCTCTTTTATTCGCCACTTGTCACTGCGTTTGCTCATAGTTTCAGAGGTTGGAATGAATTCGTTTTTGCTTTTCATTCAATAAAGGCGGCTTTACAAGGAGTAAAGTGGTTCTTGACAGCATTTTGGTTTAGGCTGGTTTAAATGCTTTTTTTTTGTTACATCCAGTCCAAAACTGACAATTACACAGTTGTTTTAGCTCTGCCTCGACACTGATTCCAATTTGTTTTTAAAAGCAGTCATTTACTTCTTATCCCCAGTGGAACGCTTTTCTTCCTCAGAAATCTCCCTTCACTGAGTAGCCTTGCAGGTAAAAGAAAAGGAACCTAATTTAAACTGGTGCTTGCAACTATATAGTATGTGTTTGCATCATCACGTACATACCGGCTTTGGAGAGGGATGCAACTAATGTTTAGCAGAAGCCAAGATTAGGCGTTCAATGTTCATTGCTAGTACTCTATAAAGACGGCTTTCGTTCTTGTTTCAAGTCAGTTTTTTAAAACAGGTCTGAGGAAAAGAATGAAAGCCTTTTCAGAGGCTTGGCTCACCCCTCTAGTTCGTTGATTTCAGCTGTGATAACCGCTCCGC